AGAAAAAAATGTATATATATTTAACTTCTATTATTTTTTTCTCTCAATCCGTTTCTACATTTTTTCTCTTAATCAGGGCAGGTATATTTTAGCGTGATCGGGAACATGGCGTTAAATTTCGCTAAAGCCATTATCAATTTTGCTTTTATTCCATCGATTTCCATCTATATATTCCTTATATATATATTTAACTAACAAATATTTATCTCTATTTACATATCTCTCTTTTCTTTATTCCTATTCATCAGGGCAGGTATATTTTAGCGTGATCGGGAGCCTGGCGTTAAATTTCGCCACCGCCCCACTTTTCATGGAGCTGGCTGTCGAGGCGTCCTACCCATGCCCCGAGGTTGTAGTGGGCGGGATGCTAACAGGGGCGGATAATTTCGTGGGTTTGCTGTTCCTCCTGATCTTCTTCATTCCTAATATAGGTGAGTGGGAGGGAGAAGGTGAGAATGAAGAGAGAGAGAGAGAAGAAGAAAGAGAGAGAGAGAAGAAGAAGAAAGAGAGAGAGAGAAGAAGAAGAAAGAGAGAGAGAGAAGAAAGAGGGAAAGAGAGAGAGAGAGAGAGAGAGAGAGAGAGAGAGAGAGAGAGAGAGAGAGAGAGAAGAAGAAAGAGAGAGAGAGAGAGAGAAGAAGAAAGAGAGAAAGAGAGAGAGCAAGAGAGATGGAAAGAGGAAGAAGGAGACGGAGAAGACAATCTTGTGTTTCTCTTACTCTTCTTCATTCCTAATATAGGTGAGTGGGAGGGAGAAGGTGAGAATGAAGAGAGAGAGAGAGAAGAAGAAAGAGAGAAAGAGAGAGAGAGAGCAAGAGAGATGGTAAAAGGAAGAAGGAGACGGAGAAGAAGGCAATTTTGTGTTTCTCTTTCTCTTCTTCATTCCTAGTAGGTGAGTGTGAGGAAAAAGGTGAGGATAAAGAAAGAGAGAAAAGAAGAAAGAGAGAGAAAGAGAAGGAAAGAAGAAGAAGGAGACGGAAAAGAAGACAATTTTGTGTTTCTCTTACTCTTCTTCATTCCTAGTAGGTGAGTGTGAGGAAAAAGGTGAGAATGAAGAAAGAAAGAGAAAAAGGAGAGAAAGACAAAGAGAGAAAAAGAAAAGAGGAAGAAGAATAAGAAGAAGTGGGTTTGCTGTTCCTCCTAAAAGTGAGAGTAAAGAGAGAGAGAAAGAGAATGAGAAAGGAAAGAGGTAAAGAAGGGGAAACAGAAGAGGTTGTAGTGAATGTGAGGAAGAATGATAAAGATAAACAAAAAGAGAGAAGAAAAAAAGAGGGAGGAGGAGAAGGAGAAGAAGAAAAGAAGAAGAAGAAAAGAGAAAGAGAGAAAAAAGAGAAAGGAGAAATAAAAAAGAAGGAAAGAGAAAAGGAAAAGAGAAGAAGAAAAAAAGAAAGTAGAAAAAACAAAGAGAAAGAGGAGAAGAAAAATGAGAAAGAAGGAGAAGAAAAAAGAGAAAGAAGGAGAATAAAAAAGAGAAAGAATGAGAAGAACAAAAATGAGAAAGGAGAAATAAAGGGAAAGAAGGAGAAGAAGAAAAAAGAGAAAGGAGAAGAAGAAAAAAGAGGAAAAGATGAAAAAAGAGAAAGGAGAAGAAGAAGCAAGAGGGAAAGAGAATGAGAAGGCTTTTCTCTATTCCTAATACAAGTGAGTGTGAGGGATAACGAGGAAAGGGGAGGAAAGGAGAGAGAGAGAGAGAGAGAGAGAGAGAGGAATATAGAGGGAAGAAGCATGGGCGTCATTTGAGAGGGGGAGGGGGGTGACAGGACACGCCCCCCCCCTTCCTCAAGGTCTGGCTTACACCCCCCCCCCCCCTTTCCTCCCTAAGGGTCATCATTATCATTGCTGCATGTGTAATGTTACCATCCATTTTTTCAGATTTTCAGATCGTTAAATTCATTTTTCACTTATTTTGGCCCGTCATTTATACAGTCTTTAAACTTATCCACATATCCACTGACTGAAAATGGTTTCTCTATTCCTAATACAAGTGAGTGTGAGGGATAACGAGGAAAGGGGAGGAAAGGAGAGAGAGAGAGAGAGAGAGAGTGAGAGGAATATAGAGGGAAGAAGCATGGGCGTCATTTGAGAGGGGGAGGGGGGTGACAGGACACGCCCCCCCCCTTCCTCAAGGTCTGGCTTACACCCCCCCCCCCTTTCCTCCCTAAGGGTCATCATTATCATTGCTGCATGTGTAATGTTACCATCCATTTTTTCAGATTTTCAGATCGTTAAATTCATTTTTCACTTATTTTGGCCCGTCATTTATACAGTCTTTAAACTTATCCACATATCCACTGACTGAAAATGGTTTCGATTGCATAATATCCACTCACGTTCTTATTGATTTTCCAATTTCAGGATACGCGTGGGTGACGTATTCACTGCTTGCAACAGGTGCCTTTGCAATCATTCCTCTGCTGCTTGTGCGGGAGAATTATGCCAGATCCAACATCGACAGGGCCGATGGTCATGAAACTTCCACAAAATAATTACAGGAGTGGTCAAG